TGGAGACAGATATCATGCTTTGAAGGATGAGGGGTTAGCCAAGGAGAGGAGATCCTCAATGAGATGGAATGACTTAAATTGACAGTGACTTCAGCAATAGGCTTGAGTGTTTCAGAGATGGAAAGGATGGCACAGGCTAGGGCAAAGTTCAGGTTGGCTATTCATAGGTTCACTATGCGTCGTATGCAACTTGAGGGCACCTATAACAACTAGTGGATGATTAATTGCTTCTGAAAATCCACTGGAGAATAAGCCAGTTCTGACTCGACTGCACACAACATATAAATAACAAAATCTCCATAAGAAATTCTGATCAATTAATTTGTTAGCTAAGTTGCCCAGGCAACAAGGAAGGTTAGACTTAGGGAAGCAATTTCTAAAGGGGGGAAAAATCAATCTTATCAATAATTCTTAGCAACACCATCTCCAAACTCAAGGACATTTTAAAACCTGATCTGGAAAGTACATACTGTAATACCTTGTAACTGTGATTGCCAATCTTTGAAGCTCCCCACTCCTCCGTAAGCAAATCTAAGCCTTATATCCAATGGAGGCTTTTCTCTCCTTCCCTAACTCTCCCCTTTGTGAACTAAAATTACTACCCAATCAATGCGTGTGGGAAACTGCTTTGTTTCTTGCCTTATGTAGGCTTCTTCATGAGACTTTCTTACTGAAATCTCCATGTTTACATTTAAACTCCTGATTGCCCATTAAATGATTCTTTGATGCCAATAAATACTTTTCATTTAAGATGTGATTGGTTTCGGGGTTTTTTCTACGCCAATTTGGGGGCTCATCTGAGATAATAAAAATGACCTCCCTTTCTGTGCAATCAAGGAATTGTGAATTAATGAAAACTGAGGCACAGAGACATGTACACCAATGGTCATAGCAGCATTATTCACCATAGCAAGAAGATGGAAACAGACCAAATGCCCAAACACAATGGAATGGATTGAAAAATTACAGTACATTCACAAAATGAAATACTATGCAGCACACAGGAGCAATTATTTTGTAAATTACTACCTAACATGGGAGGGACTA